CATACATACACATACATGTTGTATAAACATAGATACATCATGATATGTGCACGCATTGAGACAATCGCATGCACGTACAAAGGCGCGCACTTGCTCGCTTCACATACATTCCTGCACGTACCCTGTGTTTTTAATATATTTATATATATATATTTTTTTTATTTGTTTATTTATGTATTTATTTATGTATGATAGTCACGTGCACAAAATGAAAAGGTGGGCAGCAAACTTATTTGGGGCCCTTGCAAAAGAACGCTTTTTTAGTGAAAGTCTTGGGGTTGCAATGCCTTACTTCAATCGAAGCATTGAGGTACGGTCTGCGTGGTGTGGCCCAGCAGCAGCCTTGAATGTGCTGCGACCTTGGCTGGAAACGGACTATAAAAGAATCGCGCGGCTTATTTTCTTTTTCACTGAAATTCCTTGGCGCACGACAAAAAAAACAACCTTCCATAGGACTCTTGCCCTGCGCAGGTGCAGCGTCTGTCCGGAAGGTTTTGCATGAATATGTGGTGCCTTGGCTAAAGCCCTTCTGAAATACAATATACTTGTTTAGCTTCAATGCCGAACTTTAGCGCTGCATTCCATTTTCAATTTTGCAGGGGATTCTTCAGAACTGCATCCCGCTTCGTATACTGGGTGAATAAAAAAATCCACATGAAAAGAATATAGAAGCAGTAATCACCAGTTGAAGGTTTCTCGGCACCTGGAAAACCAAAAAGAATCACCAGTTTAGGGTTTATCGGGACCTGGAAAGCATGGATGGAGAATCCCCATTTTAGGGTTTATCGGGATCTGGAAAACCGAAAAAAACCCTAAGCTACTTAGTTTTTTTCGGTTTTTCGGGTTTCAGTGTTAAAGTTTGTTTCACCCCCAATGGCTATATAATATATATATATATATATATTTGCTGTCTATATGTAAATAATATGTATACTTGGGACCCTCTTTGAGTTAGGTGACTTATAAGTGCAGGGTAAGTTTTTTGTACCTAGGTTAAGTCAGGGCTAAGTGGTAAGATAACTGGCTAAGTGGGAGCTAAGCGGTATCATTTTTTGATGATTTAGACGTGATTTAGGGATAGTTATAAGTGAAAGCTAAGTTATCATGTATGATTCGAAAAAAGTTAGCGCTAACTTAGGTACGACTTAGCTTTTTGAAAAAAAACATGTAAGGGAAATGAAATTTGTAAAAAAAAATGGATGTTTTCGCAGGTTTTGGCTTGTGTGAGTTGTGTGGGCCATGGCTGCTTCGTTGAAGCAGATTGAAGCGGCACAGCGGTTCCTACGTGGAATCGTGTCGCTGGGAAGTTTCTCAGAAATACGTGAGAAACAATGGCGTGGAGTGTGTCATGCGTTGGGGAAGCTTTCCACGCTGACGGCTGCCCAAGCGGCAGAGTGGCTGGCGGCCCTTGACAATGAGCTTTGGACAGCAGCTCAAGTGGCGGAGTTCCAAGAGGCTGTGGCCGCAAAGACAAAGGCGCTAGAGGAGGATTCCATTCGTGTTATATCTTGCAGGACTTCCTCATGTTGCCATACTACTTGACAGAGGAGTTGGCCACCATGGTTTTCGTCGATGAAGAAGTGGATCGGGATGTCGTTCTGCAGAAGTTGTGTTCTCATGCGGCAAGGTTGACGCTGAAAAATGCGAGCGAAGCTTCCAAGGCTATGCTTTTGGTCTTGGCGAATTGGCGCTTGGTAGAAAAGATGTCACCACAGAACCAGTATCAGTTCTACGTGAGCAAAAAACCTCTGGTGACCAAGTTTTTGGCAGCAGCGGCGTTTGGTGGCCAAGGGCTTCCGGAGCTACCCATGTCGTGGCAAGACTTGCCAAAAGATGTGCGGCAAAAGCTGTTTCCTACGGGAAAGCCAGCTGTGTTAACTGAGCCATCAGCTGCTGCGATTGTGCAGTTTGTGAGAACGTATCCGTTGCGAAAGGATAACAAGATGCTGCTGCCACAAGCAGCCGCTCAGAGCGCGCAAGCCGCGCATTCAACCGACGTGGTTTCAGTGGATGCTGTGGTGAAAGTGGTCGAGGCATGTTCGCGCTTGCGTCCTGAAACTCTACGAGAGACGGTGGATGCATCGACGCGATCTACGGGATCTGCGTGTGAAATGAAAAGGCCCATGTTGGCTTTGGAAGATGGCACGGTGGATGGATCCAGTGACCCACGAGGTCAAGCAGCTTCCCACGTGGAGACGGTAGAGAAGCAACCGTTGACGGTAGCGCAGCAACTGGCTGCCTTGAAGACTAGGTTGCCAGAGGAAAAGAACCCGACGGAGAAGGCAACGCCTAGTGGGCGCAAGGGGGCGAAGGCCATTGCGAAGAGTTCAGCGGCCTCGCTGGTGGCAAAGAGGCCGGCTACGTGCCGGCGGGGGCTGAAGCGACCGGCGGCTGCCGCGCCACTGGGTCGCGAGGCTAAGCGCCAACAGCTCCTACGGAAAATCCCAGAGGATTTGAAGCGGAAGTATAAGAATGGGTGTTCCAAGTGCAGGTACACTTTTTGTACACCTAGTTGCTGGGCCGGTCGAGGTTTTACTCTTTGACGTGCACCATGCATGAAGAGGAGGAGCAAAAGATTGCGTTGCAGCTTTCACGCTGAGGGTCGTGGGTCTGTCATGCCTGTGTTGTCTCCGGTGCTTGGTTGGCATGGTCCTGTCTCGGTTGACTTGTCTTCGGTTTGGTCTCGTTGTGGTTCTGAATGTGGTTTCTGTAGGAACTGTGAGGCTCTAGCTGCAACGGGGACGGGCTGCTTCCGCTTGTCGTGGATAAAGCGTGCGCGTACAGAGGCCAGGGTGAGGGCATGTACAAAGAAGACAATCTAAGAATGTCGAACCTATATATGGATAAAATATATAGATACATTTATATAGACTATAACCAATTGGTCTGCGTCTATATCGGGTTGCCCGTGCTCCTGGAGGTGACTGATGCCGCCGAAGGAGATCAAGCGTGAGCCAAGTGAGTACTCCTATGTGACAGATGAAGAGGAGGAGCACGCACCAGCACCAGCGTCTGCGGCACCACCAAGGACTCCTCCGAGGGTGGTGGGCACAGCGGCCAAGAGCCGGGCGCATGTGCCGAACACGCCGCCGTCCGAGTCGAGCTCAGAGCGCGCACCGCGTGCGCGCGGTCGAGCGCCAGCGGACGTACCATATCCGCCAAGTGCGGATGTTCCGCCGGCTCCGGAGCGGCCGAAGACAGAGCGCGCGGAGGGTCCGGGTCGAGCAGGGCGGACGTCGCGCGCTGACGCTGTAGCCGTGGCAGGTGGTCGAACGGCTGCCTCTGCTGTGGCCGCTGCTCCGCGCACTGCAGAGGCTCCTGCTGAGCCAGACGATGCAGCGCCTCCATGTGAGGTGTAGGTTCAACTGTAAGTGCCCCATTTGCTGGGGGTCGGTGGTCAAGGGCCCCGCAGGGCTCTCCCAGCATCAGTTCTGGTCAGAGATTTGCAACACATGGCGGTTGCATACCCAGAACGGGCTCACGTGGCCGCAGGCTGAACGACAGGCTAAGCGCCTCAAGCACGACCGGGAACAGCAGGAACAGGAAGAGATCACACCAGCGCGCAACCTCACGATGCGCCAGAGGCTGGAAGGACGCGAAGCAAAGGCTGCTGTGACCATGGAGGACGTGCTGGAGCTGCTGCGCGCGGAGAAGAAGAGCAAGAAGCACAAGCGCCGCCGCCGCAGACATGAGTCACCGACCCCGGAGGTCGAAAGGAAAAAGCATCGCCGAGGTGACCGGGATCCTCCAAGTGATGATCCAGAGAGAGGTCCATCGGCTTCGGTGCGGAAGGGCCCAGGTGGCTCCTTGATTTTGCAGATCCCGGCCCACATGGTCCAAGGCAGCTAAGGCTGCCAGATGTGTCTACGTGACACCGTCATATAGAGACCGCAGGTGTATATAGAATTTGATTCGGACCACCGCAGCATCGAACCTGACGTGAAAAGGGACACTGCTCTGTCGGGCCGCTCTTGTCGTTCTGCGTTGCGTTGTGGTCGTCTTTGTGCCTCGTTGTTCCGTTCTGTGTTTTGGCTCTATATAGTGCCGAAGTTTATAAGGGGTGCCCGCGCCGTCGGCCGCTGTCTCCGAGCAATGGAGGTTCCGAAGGATGTATCCTTTTCCTTGCGGCCACGTGCCTTGGAAGAGGTCATCCAAGCGATGACGGCCACGAAGCCAGCGGAGCCTTTAGAAGATTTCGTGTCTACGTGGCATGATGTAAGGGCGTCACTGGAAGATGCCTGCGGCCATGCGATGCAAGACGATGCGCGCATGTTCTCTCGCCTAATGGCGTTGCTTCTCTACGGAGAATGGCAGGCCACTGTGTTGGATTTACCACCGCATCTGAAGCTACATGGCTTCTGTCTGGTTCCAGCGCGGACGGTGCCACAGCAAAGTCGAGAGCAGTGGAGCTATCTCCTGCGGTATGACTTCTTTGGCCAACGATATGTGAAGGCGCGTAAGACGTTGTCCACGTTGGCCTGGCATCTCTCCACGCGGGAGAATATGCAGAGGGAATTCCTCTGGTGCCGCAGAGCTGCGTGGCTTTTGCGACAGCTCCGGCAGCGTTGGCGCCAAGAGCGCGAAAGCCAAAGAGGGTCCTACGCGGACATGCGCTGTCTGCCGGTAGGATAGTGTCTTGGGAGAAAACGCCATGAGTGCGGGTTGAGTGCGGATGAGTGCGGGAAAATATCATCACTTCTGGCATGAGGGCGGGGCATGAGTGCGGACAGGAAGAGGTGAGCAGTGAGCTTTTTGTCGTGAGTATTGAGTGCGGCAAGACTAACCCCTCTCAAACCTAGGGCGGTCATGAGTGCGGTTGAGTGCGGACTGTGGAACCTTCAAAATAGCCAAAAAGAGCCATGAGTGCGGGATTTTGGTGGAAAGTTGCAAATCTAAGAAAAAAACACTGTCACGGCCGTCCGCAGATTTCGATCCTCAAGCCTTCGGTCTTCTGACTTGTGTCTGTGCTGTTGTCCCTTGTTCCACTTGTTCCTGTCGCAATGGCTGCTGAGGAAGCCCAAGCGGCACAGGCGAAGTGCGGCAGTTGTGGCTTGGAGTATTCCCAAGAGGAAGGTCGTCTACATGGACGAAACTTCAAGTGTGGCAATTGCAAGAATGTGGAGCAGACGTTACGGCGTCATCTTGGCACCACCGCAGACTTGCAAGAGTTCTCCCAAGAGGAGAGTGAGAAGTTCTTTAAGGCGACACATGCCGCCAAATCTCCGGACGGAAAGCTTGCTTGGCAAACCATCCGGGCGATCCTGCTGAAGCGCATGACCGAAGTGAGGATTAGGTCCTTTGAGAGCAAGGTCGCGGTGGAAGAACTTACTTTGTCCGTGCTGCTGACGCGTGGATGGGAGGAACAGGTGGTGCGGAAATTTCCTTCGGAGGTTTCCGAAGCCCATGGCTGCGAGCTGTTCAAGGTGCCAGTGCGGACCTGCACATGGGCGGAAGCTTTTCAAAGGTCGGAGGAAACTATTCTGGAAAGGGAAAAGCAAGCAAGCAAAAAGAAGGGGAGCAAAGACATGGACGTGCCTCTCGCTGGCCCAAGCGGCAAGGAGGAAGCGGATTCGAAGAAGGCTGACCGCAAGAAAGCCCAAGAGGCTAAGAAGGTTGTCACCGAGAACGTGAAGATTGCAACCTGGGCGGCCAAGTGCCTCGGACCTCTGACCCAAGCGGAAACCTCCCTCACCAAGGTGATTGCCAAGGGAGACACAGTGCCGGATGCGGACGAGAAGGCCCTGACACTGTGTAAGGACAATCTGGTCACGGTGACCGGTTGGATCAAGGCGGCTAAGGAAGCGGTGTCCATGCAGGATCACAATAAAGAGAAAGAGGAAGAGGCCCAGGTGGCCTTAGTTTCCTTGCCCTGCGACGCAACTGACGTCAAAGTGCTTCTCAAACAAATTGCGGAAGCTACGAAAGCCCTACGCGGGTCCTTCCCAAAGCCGAAGGCTAAGGCCAAAGCGGTTGCGGGAGCAGAGGCGTCTGCGCCGAAGCGTCGCAGGATCAAACAAAACCCGTGAGCTATGCGCTCCCACTGGCCACGGACAGATAAAATATATGTATATAGAGGTGGCATCGATGCTACAGGGGTTAAGGTAGTATGTGAAGCCTGTGGAGATAGACATCCCCCAAATGCACGCGCATCCGGATGGTCGAAAAAAAAAGTTGGGCTTGTCTGGAACAGTGGGCTGTGGGCATTCATATTGGGTCGTCACCGTGCCTATCTTTGTCTCCGTTCTGTGTGCATGCTTGTTTGCGTTCTTTTGGCTCGTCAGGTATCCCTCCATGTCCAAACGCAAACTGAGGATCGACGATGGCCCGGGTGCGCAGTTCCGCGCTCTGCGACAGTTGCCAGGTGTCAGCCAAGAGCTGGGGCGAAACATCGTGTCGCTATTGCGAGATGATGACAGAGGAAAAGGCGTCTGCAAAAGAAAAAAGGAGATTGCCCCAGAGGCATGCGGGATTCAAGTTCGTCTACGGGACGAAGGCAATCCCGAGATCGAAATTGTTGCTAACAGCTTGCCGCGGTTGATTGAGAAAAAAAGGAACGATGTCCACTTTTTTCGCGTTTGTTGGAGGACGCCTTGCTCCGCAACAGAAATGAGCTCACGTTAGTCCTAGCCCAAGATGAAACGACCCCAGGCAACGTTCTCTCGAGTCGTCCAGCAAGAAAAACTAATTGGATCTTTGCATCTTTCTTAGAGATAGAGGCCTTATGGATTGATAGCATGTGGTTGCCTGTATCCTGCATCCTTGCAAAGGAGGCGCAAGACGCCAAATATTCCTATGTGGAATACACGCGTGTGGTGCTACGGCATCTCCATGGCGAGGTGCAAAATGGCTTTGCACTGGATGCATCGGAAGGACCCGTGCTTGTCTTTCTACCCAAAATAATTCTATTGGGGGATCACGAAGCCTTACGGGCTCTGTCGGGGGCCAAGGGCTCCAGTGGCGCTAAGCCATGTCTCAAATGCTGCAATATCTTGAGTCAAAATCGACATATACCCCCTTTGCACGCTTGCATCACGGAGGCCAACAGCGCCAACTTCCTCCCTCAGACTGGAGAAGGACTTCGTGAGATTCTGCGGCATTTTGAGTCGTGCAGGACGAAGAAGAGTTTGCAAGAGGCAGAAACAGCTCTAGGCTGGAATGCAGAGATGTTGCGTCGATCAGTTGTCACTGATGCCTTCTTGAGTGGCTGGGTTACATTGCAATCCTTTTACTTCGACAGCATGCACCAGTACTGGTCATGTGGGCAAGTTGCGCAGGAGCTGGGTCTTTGGTACACGCGTCTTGCCGATTGCCACATTACCTTGGACGCGCTGCGTGCATGGGTCGCTATTGGTTGGAAAGATTTAGGGCGTACGCCGCCCATGCATTTGTTCTCTGACAAAATGTTCAAACGCGACACAGACTATCGCGGAGACGCGCAAGCGTGTCTGGTGGTATTCCCACTCTGCTGGGCATATAGCATGGAAATCTTAAATGGCCGCTCTGACGTGGCTCAAGCTATTGCTTCCCTGAATGCCCTCTACGCTGTGACGCAAGTCATCCATGAGATGAAAAGGCAGCCACGAGCTGTGGAGCAGTTAGAGCCATTGCAACAGGACCACATGGAGAAATTTCGTTTAGCGTACGGTTCGGAGCATGTGCGTCCCAAAGTTCACTTCTCGCGGCACTTGCGTGAACAAGTTGAGGCTTGGAAACGTCACATCGATTGCTTTGTGGCCGAGCGTAAAAATAAACTATTCAAGCGCCAAATTGCGCCGCGTTTGAATCGGTTGTCATCTTTCTCTGCCAGCGCGTTGATGGAGCTCACCCAATCTGAACTCAACACCGCCCATGTGGTGGACCGGCTTATCGGCCAATTGGTTGGGAAGGGAAAGCCACATCTGGAATGGGCCAAAGAAGTCCATGTGACGCCAGACGCTCTCTTTGCTACGGGCATCGAAGTGGGGTGCGTGGAGTTCCTACGTGGACATTTCCTCGTCTTGCACCCCACTCTCTGCCTTGAAATTCATCATGGCATGAAAATCCAAGAAAACCATTACCTGGTGGTTGAAGAATGGCTGCCCTACGAGGGCCGGCCTACACCAAACTGCCAGCAGTGGCGCCGGAATGCGCGCGCGAGCAAGTACGTCTTGCCGGCGCACAAAATGAAAGGCCACGAGCCATTGCATCTCATGCGAAAGGAGCATGAAATTGTCTGGCTGCTGCGATGAGACGAGCGCAATTAACAAAACGGTGCAAGAAAAAGAAACAATACTATTTAAAAAATACAATATAAGTTTAAAAAAAAAATACTTGTCCTAAAAATTGCTCCAAATGGTAAAATTGCAAATAAACAATGAAAAAACTTAGCTTCACTTAGCTGCCACTTAGCAAGCACTTAGCGAAGCATGTTTTGTAGCCCCAAAGCTGAGTGACCTAAGTGAAAGATAACTTCTGCTAAGTCACCTAACTCAAAAGCGGGTCCCAAGTATTAGTAAATATATAATATACATGATTGCAGTTTGGGTTTGTCGGTATTTAATGTTTATCGGGATGTGGAACAACTAAGTTTATCGGAATTCGGAAAACCGAAAAGAATCACCAGTTTAGGGTTTGTCGGAAACCAGGAAAAACCGAAAAAAAACACCAGTTTAGGGTTTATCGGAAACCGCGAAAAACCGAAAAGAATCCCCATTTTAGGGTTTATCGGGATCTGGAAAACCGAAAAAAACCCTAAGCTACTTAGTTTTTTTCGTTTTTTCGGGTTTCAGTGTTAAAGTTTGTTTCACCTCCAATGGCTAATATTTCCTTTCGATATATATGTATATTTATATATATATATATGTATATACAGACATGATTGCAGTTAGCGTTTGTCCATAACATAGCAGAGAGAGATATATATATATATATCGGAATGTGGAAAACCGACAAGAATCACCAGTTTAGGGTTTGTCGGAAACCGGGAAAAACCGAAAAAAATCACCAGTTTAGGGTTTATCGGAAACCGGGAAAAACCGAAAACAATCACCAGTTTAGGGTTTATCGGAAACCGCGAAAAACCGAAAAGAATCCCCATTTTAGGGTTTATCGGGATCTGGAAAACCGAAAAAAACCCTAAGCTACTTAGTTTTTTTCGTTTTTTCGGGTTTCAGTGTTAAAGTTTGTTTCACCTCCAATGGCTAATATTTCCTTTCGATATATATGTATATTTATATATATATATATGTATATACAGACATGATTGCAGTTAGCGTTTGTCCATAACATAGCAGAGAGAGATATATATATATATATCGGAATGTGGAAAACCGACAAGAATCACCAGTTTAGGGTTTGTCGGAAACCGGGAAAAACCGAAAAAAATCACCAGTTTAGGGTTTATCGGAAACCGGGAAAAACCGAAAACAATCACCAGTTTAGGGTTTATCGGAAACCGCGAAAAACCGAAAAGAATCCCCATTTTAGGGTTTATCGGGATCTGGAAAACCGAAAAAAACCCTAAGCTACTTAGTTTTTTTCGTTTTTTCGGGTTTCAGTGTTAAAGTTTGTTTCACACCCAATGGCTATATATATATATATATCTTATAATTCAATATGTACATTTATGTAAACATATACACGCATGATTGCAGTTAGGGTTCGCCATAACATAGCAGATAAATATAAGTATATATATATATATATGTCGGAATGTGACGTGGAAAACCGACAAGAATCACCAGTTTAGGGTTTATCGGAAACCGGGAAAACCGAAAACAATCACCAGTTTAGGGTTTATCGGAAACCGCGAAAAACCGAAAAGAATCACCAGTATATAGGGTTTATCGCAAACCGGGAAAAACCGCAAAGAATCATCAGTTTATATATAGTGTTTATCGGATCCCGGGAAAACCGAAAAGAAACCTATATAAGCTATGCTTTGGTTTCCAGATTCTTGTGATTTATTTTCATGCAAAGTTTGTTTCGCTCTAAGCTGTACTGGCCTTAATTCACCCTAAGAGGGGTTGAGATAGAAATAGATCCTAAAGATTTTTTATTGATACATAAGGACATTGGTAGGTGAATAGAGGTGTTGAGCATGATACACGGAAAAAAAGAAACCACCATATATGTATATTACATCGTTTGGGGTTCAGAATTAAAGTATCCGTAAATCATGTATGCATATATACACTTAGCATGCCCCATTTTCAGCCAACATTTATGAGTCAATAGGTGGATCAGCATGCTGCTGAGGCGACCAATGCGGACAAGGCCTCCGAAAGTGCTTATCTGCAATTTCGAACCATGGTGCCTGGAAGTCCTGGTTACGTAGAACTCATGCAACTTGGAGAAGCCCATCTCTTAGCTTCCCACAAAGAAGAGAAATTCGTGACCCGGGCGTGCGAGATGGGTTTTTCTTTACCGGTGCCAATCCAAACATTCTATTTGAATACTCTGGGAAAGTGGCATCGTTGCATCAATATTCGAGCCCTTGCTGAGCACATCTTGGTCAAATACCCTCACAAACTTCTAGCTGGACATTCCTGTGCAGACAAGACTTCATTTTATCACGTCATGGAAGAATTTTGGAGGGCCTTTCGCCTCTACAATGCGAACCACCCTGTATTCGCAGATTTTGCAAACAATTTGCGGCATTGCATACCGATGAAAATACACATCGATGAGGGCACAGGATTGAGGAGGGCTGCTGTCAATCAGTTTTCTTGGGGGCCACTGCTGAGCAGCTCTCCAAACTCATTGGATCGATATTTTTTCTGGTCTTGCATGAATGGAGAGGAGTACAAGAATGCCAACGCTGGGTACGAACGTGGAAATGCAATTCTGGATGAGGTGAGCGAACGTCTGGCTGCACAAGCTCAAAGTGTTTATCTTGAAGGGGTGAGCTGTCCGGGCATTGGCAAGCTGCATTTTGTTTGGGTTGCTTTGGAAGGTGATCTACCTGCCCAAGCCCGAGCACTTCATTGCAAGAGAAACTTCAATTGCATGCCAGACCAGCTCTGCCCATGGTGTCATGCTGATGACTTGCAAGTTCCTTTCACGGATTTCCGCCCGGTGGCAGCATGGCGCAGAACTGTTGGTGCTTCGAGGCCTTGGACTACAGAGAGCCCCATGCTTGGTATTGCAGGGGCTGGCCATGAAGTGTTCTTGGCGAAAGACCTCTTCCACCTTTGCCATCTGGGTGCTGTGCGTGGTTTCGCTGTCAATGTTCTGTGCTACCTCGCTACGATGGCACACTTTGATCCTGGCCTTTTATAAAGTAATCCCACTTCAAGTTTCCATAGTTCTGCTGTCGCAAACGCAAACGCCCAAATCTATTTGAAGCATGTTTTTCTGTCCCCAGCACAAGGTTGTGTATTTTGCTGACACTATATATATATATACACACGTAAATCTATATATATATACATACATATATATATATATATGAAACTTTTGTCCCGTAGTCTTGTGGCTGCCAGGAAGGGAACAACATCCCTGACAAATTATCTTCGGCCTACGGCGAGTTCAAACGTTTCTGCACAAGCAAAGGTGCGACACCGATGGTGAAACATTTCACCAAGGACAACTTGGGTTGGAGCTCCCTGAACTCCTACCCCCAATGCTCTTTCAAGGGGTCGGACACTCGCTTGATTCTTGGCTTCGTTCTGCAGATCATGCTCAATCCCCGTGTGGCCCTTGATGACATCGCCTCAGAGGCGTTGTTGGCTGCCTCAGCCATGGATGATTTTTTACGATTGATCTTTGGCTTGAAAGACAATACTGGATGCAAGCAAGCTCTTTTGAGCCGTCAAGAAGGTTCCCGAGCTTTGGTCCTACTGAAGACTTGGATCGAAAAAATTTATTAGTGTGCTCGTTTGTGCCTGGATCGAAACCTGCGTTTTTTTGGCATGACGCCAAAGTACCACTTCCTTTTGCATGTGGCACTTGATGTTGAGCAGCAGCTGTCTGAATGTGAGCAAGATGGTGGCCAGTTCATATTGAACCCTGGCTTATTTGCCACGCAAATGGCTGAAGATGCGACGGGCCGCTCATCTCGAATGTCACGTACAGTTCATGTTAGAACCACTGCTTTACGAGTGGCCCAGAAGTGGCTTATTGCCGTGAAACTTTTTTGGGATGAACCAGAAGAAGGTTGGCCAGAGCTGTGACCTGCAAATCAATTGAAAAATGAACAGCAGTTTTCGAAGCGCGTGCATGAGTTGGATGAAGAAAGAACCAATTTCTTAGCATTTTTCAAGAATACATTTGCACATGGAAAGATTTTGGCAATTGCGTTCAAAATTCATGCTGATGCAGCTTGCCAAATGGAAATGTGGACGGAAATAAGATCCCGCAAAGATGGCTGTATATACATATATACACATATTTTTTTATACATACACGACTGGATTTTTTTTCCCACAAAGGTATGAAACTTTTTCCTGTGCAGTCAGCCCTGCGGATGTTGTGTACAATCGGACTGATTTTTGCATCTGTTTTTTTCCACTGGTGTATGTTTAAATGAATATGTGTATATATAGATGTTTTACACACATTTATATATATATGTGTGTGTGTTTGTCTACCTGTCTATATCTTTTTGTCCTTCTATTTCTCTGTCTGTCCATCTATCTATGTATCTATCTTATCGTAAATGTCCTACATCCAATCCTGCCGTGTCCTCTCCTATCTTACATCCTTTCCATCCATGCGTACATATCTTAAATATCCTTTCCATGCGCGCCCTATCCGATCCTATCCTATCCTGCCCATTCTGTATTTCTAATCTCCCCATCCATCTATCTATCTATCTATCTACCTATCTATCTATCTATCTACCTACCTACCTATCTATGTGTGTGTCCATCTATCTTTCTATGTGTCTGCCTACCTATCTATGAGTCTGTCTATCTATCTTCCTATGCGTCTGTCTACATATCTTCCTATCCGTCTGTCGATCTATCTTTCAATTGTTTCTCTATCTTTCTTTGCGTCTGGCGTCTGTCTATATATCTTTCTATGTGTCTGCCTATCTATCTTTCTATGTCTCTATCTATCTTTCTATGCGTCTATCTATCTATCTTTCTGTGTGTGTGTGTGTCTGTTGTGGAGCCGCCCTACCTGAACCTCCTGGAAGAGGTCACACCGCTGGCCGGGTGTGGGGCTGGAACCTTGCCTTGGGGCCAACGCACTGCCTGTAGTAATAAAGCAGGTGGTGTATGAGAGCAAGGCACATGGGCTAACGCGCTTGCTCGGGCAAACCTGGTTACGAAACCTGGAGCATTGCTGCTTGGGATCCCGTGGCAATGCTTCCAGGTTTCCGACCCAGGGGTTCCAAGTAAGGGAGGCCATTCTGCGTCCCTCTCTTTTTTTCTGTGTGCTGGTGCCTTTTCACCAGCCGATTTGCTTGCGGGATTTCTGGTGCGTTCCATGTGACGTTATATATATATATATGTGATATATCATGTGCAGTATATGGATTGCGTTAAGTGTTGTTCAATATGAGAATCATTGGCACCAAAAAATTTCGACTGTGTGTGTGTAGAAATGTAGAAACCCAACTACGTTTTTAGTTATATATATATGTTCAAATATGTTCAACTTGCGTGCATCTTATCCATGAGCTTTGCGTGCCTTTCGTAGAGTTTGTTTCTGGTTTAGCGGGACCTGAAACATCGAAAGGAATCACCATGCGGTTCATCTGGACCTGGAAAGCATGTATGCAGAACCCCCAGTTTAGGGTTTTCGTTCGGAATCCGGAAAACCGAAAAAACATCTATATAAGCTCTATATATATGGATCCTTAATTTTTTTCGGTTTTGCGGAATTCTTGTCCATTTCGCATTCAATGATTGTCTCTGTTTCTATAGTCTACACTGCGACCTTTGTTGTGGATGACTTATAAGGTTTGTTGCTGGCATTTGTATGCATATATATATATGTATACATATAGCATGCAGACATTTAAGGTTTATCGGGACCCGGAAAACCGAAAAGAACCACCAGGCATGTTTATAAGGTTTGTCAGACTTGTTCAGACTTCGGAAAACCGCAAAGAATGACAAGTTTATGTGGCATTTTTTGGGGAACTGGAAAGCATGGATGCAGAATCCCCACGGTTTATCGGAATCCGGGAAATACGAAAAGAACCCTATATATAATATATAAGCTACTTAGTTTTTCGCTTCTTCAAAATTCTTGTTTAAAGTCTGTTTCACACTGCATGTTTCTATATACATTGCAACCTTTGTTGAAGATGATTGCAGTTAACGCGGTTTGTTGCTAAAATATATAGCATTCAGACATTTAGGGTTTATCGGGACCTGGAAAGCAAGCATGCAGAATCAGCAGTTTAAGTTATCGGAATCCGGAAAGCCGAAAAAACCCTATATATAAGTTCCTTGTTTTTTTTGTTTTTTGGGCTTCAGTTCTACAGTTTATTTTCCCCTCACTGATTGTCATATATATATATATATATTTGGATTTATATATATGTATATATATATATATGTATACATTGCAACCTTTCGTCTATACATGATTACAATGGGGGTTTGTTGGTACCTTTTTAAGCAAATATTTAGTGTTTCTCGGGCCTTGGACAAGCGCAAAGAATCACCAGTTTAATATTTCCCGGAATCCGGAAATTGAAAACACCCTATATAAGCTACTTAGTTTTTCGTTTTTTCGGAATTCTTGTCCAGAGCCTGGTTCACCCCTCAGTGACTGCTACGGTGTCTTTGTGCATTGCAACCTTTCTCAAGCAAAATATTTGTGTTTATACTTGTGTAAAGGAAACAAGTAGACCTACAAACATGAACATGTCTATTCTCTTGTTTGAAATCATTGCTCACACAGGAAGCGTATACATACATATGCATATGTATATATACTTATATATATATATATCTGTGTGTGTCTATGCCTAGAGAAGTTTATGCACTACATCTTCTATATTTTTTTGGTTGGGCATGTGTGCAAGATTGTTAAATAGCAATGTCATGGCTCAAAGTTTGCTGACATACAGAAACAAACAACATTTGGCATCTTTGCTACCTTCATTCTGCAATGGCAGCACAAGGCATCCTTTTCTGCATTTTTCTCCGCAGGCAAAAAATGGTTTAACCAAAAAAACATGTAAGAATTGGTTTAACTAAAAAATTTTGGTCTTTAAGATGTCTAGGTATTTCGATCTATATTGATCTCTATCGATCTCTCGATCTATCGATCTATCGATCTATCGATCTATCGCTAGCGATCTATCGATCTATCGGTCTATCGATCTATCGATCTACCCTGAGTCTCGGAAATTAGTAAAAATTACACTTTTAGTGATTTACTAAATTCGACCAATTTACTGTAAATGTTTGTCCCGGAAAATTTACCTAAAAGTGCACCTAAAAATGGACCTAAATTTCATGTACTTTTGTTTCCTAAGTCTGCGCTTTATTTTTTGTTGTTTTTTGGTATATTTTGTTGCGAAGAAGAGCTAGATTTATTTTTTTGTTAGTTTTTGTTTAAAATACTTTTGTTGATTGTGTTTCTTTTGTGTGATTTTTTGTTTGGAGAAGATGAATTATCATAAACAATTTTATGTGGTTAGGGAGAGAAAAGTATTGTTTTGGTTGTAGAAAAAATATATGTGTATGGTAGAAGCAACACAGAATAGTGACACAAGTAACAGTAGTGCTGCTGCAAAAGCAGTTGCAGCCTGTTTTTTTCTTCGCTAGCATTTGCAGCGAATGGCTTGCAAGTGTCTATGTTTCAGAGCAGCTACATTCCGACTGCAAAATGTTTGTTGCCTGAAAGGCATGATTTCCGTGCTGTCAAGGTCACGTGACTGTCAAACCTTACAGTGCTCAGAGTTTGAAAAAAGAGAAAAGGAGTATTGGGCATTGTTGTTTCTTATATGTTTTACTTTTGTTGAGTGACTTTACTTGTGAGATTGAGTTACTTCAGTTCATGTTACTTGTGATTAGTCAATTTACTTGAGCGTTTGCATTCCTTGGTGTGATGATTGTTATCTTGAAGTTTTGCATTACTTGATATCTTTTTCCTTGTGCTCAAGATATTCAATGTACAATATTGCAATTGAAACTTTGCTACAACAACATTTTAAAAACTCAAAACAAACAAAACCAGAGATAAATAATTACAAAATTAAATCAAAAAGATTGGAAAATATAAAAAAATGTATATGTAGTTCATATGTAGTTTATTTGCAGTTTATATGCACTTTTCAAAAGTGCATATAAACTACATGTAGTCTTCTTAAAAGTACATGTAGTTTATATGCACTTTTAAAAAGTGCATATAAACTACATAAAAAATATATACTACATATATACTACATATAAACTACATATAAACTACATATAAATTACATAGAAACTACATAAAAAGTACATATAAACTACATATAAACTACATATAAATTGCACATAAATTATATAAACTACATATAATATATCTAAAAACTATATAGAAGGTACATGATAATTACTTCCAAATTAATACCATGCAAAACAAAGACATACACAAACAATATATAAAATGTACATAGTTTCCATGTTAGTTCTTAACCTGCTTTCAAAACCAAAATCAAACTTAAATCAAAAAAACAAAAATATACAATCAATCCAGAAAAGAACAACATCATACAGATTCTCTGCAATCTATTCTCTTGCCATTTGTTTGGTTTCATACTTATTAAATCATCAACAGTGTATCCTGTCTCCTACTTGATTTCATGATATTTTCAGCAGATAAACCATTTTCAACCTTTCTTGAGTCAGTAAAATCATAATACATCACAAGTAACTCTGCAAGGGTAGTCACAAGTAACAACTACAAAAAAACACAAGTA